CATTAATCAACTATTTTTATTTGATGTAACACATGACTCATGCTATCACCATGACAGTTACTTTAGGATATTTGAAACTGCATGTAAAAGAGATTCAAAACAGACAAGCTTGTATCATGTTTCTATGCTAATTTGTTCCCTTGTGTTTATGTCTTAGCCGTTTTTCAGTTTTGGACATTTTTCATGCTTTGACTAGTAAAAGATAAGAGAACATAATGTATTGGTTTCAACTAAAACGGATAGGAGAGTTTGCCTCCCATTTGTATGTACCCTATTGGACTCAAATTTAATTTGAAAACCAAAAAAGTAAAATGTGAAAAAAATATTTCACATGTATGGCACCAGACAGCTTAAACATTCTAGAATGGAGGAGATAAGGATGGTGATGGAAAATCTATGTGGAAAACAAATCCTAATTTCATAAATGGTAAGAAAAATATGGTCAGTTTTTCCATTATCATAAAAGGAAAACTTTATTTGGCAACGAGATGCTACATTTGGAATGTAAATATCTCAAATTACCCAAATTTGATAATGAGTTGACCACAAATCCATTGCTTGGATTTTTTGCCGAAAAAGTTTCACCTTAATAAAGAAAATAATCTCCATTTTCCTTAAAAGGAATCCTATTTAGCTTTTACTTAAACATAATGGATACATACAATGTACTCAAAGATTATGGTATGTGGAAATGATTGTTCTTGGTAAATATTCAACAATTGCCTGTAGCCAGCTTTTTTATTAGAAAATGATTAATATTTACTCAATTCAATATTTTTTTGACAATTGTCTTGATTTAATTATTAAAATATAATATAAATACAATTATTTTAATCAATTCTTATATCCTATGAGCATAGTTGCATTTTAAAATTTATTTGCATTTAATTTTAGATAAACAAAATAGTAATTTTTTAATAAATATATTATGTAATATGTTGAATTAGAGTATATACCAAACAATGTCCTTTTTTATTTTTTATTCCTTTCTATAACCATTTTTGGTTATGATAAAAAGGACGTAACTATCTAAAACTTTTCTTGAAAATTAAAAGTTTATGTAATTTTTTTTTAAGTATATTTGAGGTTGCTTGTCAATT